AGAATTCCCTAGGCAGTCAGAGATGTTCATAGACAATAACCAGAGTTCTTCCTAAGGAGAAGAAGGTAGCCAGGAATTGAAAAATCAGAGGAGGGGATTGAAGAATTAAGATTAATTTCACAGAGAGCTAGAATATCTGGAGACTTTCTGGAGAGGGAAAATTCCACACTGCAGAAGTTGGTAAGAATACCATGAATATTGGAGAAAGAAGGTCGAGGGGTTCAGGGTTTTTTTTTATTGAGCTGCTTTCGATTTATATCTTTGGTTACAGTGTAACCCGGATATAAGAGAAACCCGGATATAAGAGAGATTTTCTCTGGTCCCAAATTAGAGCCCATACTTACCTAAACAAAATAGACCAAACCCGGATACGAGAGACTTCTTCTCCGGTCCCGACAACTCTCTTATATCTGGGTTACACTGTATTTATAATCATGATGGGCTATATTGGTAAGGAAAACCCTGGGGTAGTAGTAGCAGTCGGTCATCTAATGTAACATGTGCAGGGAGGGAATTGGCATGGACTGCAACATAGTGTGACCTAGGGGTTGCCCAATAGAGGTGCTTACAGGAACACCCTTCCATGCACGACATGGTACTGCAAGAACCTCAATAATATGCAACTATCAATCAGAGCAGCATCTCAAGTTGCTATGCAAGACCTTGGGCTTCTAACTACCAGTCAGGGACAGCAAACAGAAAACTGCCAACCTGATACCCTGAATATGAAGAGATGTTGTCACTATCCACACATCTTGTTTAATGTGAAGGATGTGCCTGGTGAATGTATATGGTAAAAAATTCTGTTGTCCAGGGATTTTTATATTAAGAATCTGAACATCTGAATTCAAAACAATAATAAAATAAAAAATAGAGAAAACATGGTTATTCCTGTTAAATAACTCAATTGTATTTACAAACATGTACAGGAATTCAAAAGGGTTAAAAAATAGTTTTTGGGTAGTTACTTCACAGAAAAAAACTGGGGTTTAGAAAAGACATTTAAATAGTTGATCCACAGGAAATGGCTCTGATTGAGAAAAGGCCTTTATTATGTTTCTGTTATGATGTACTGTGGGGGAAGGAAAAAGCTATGTAGCCATGTCTTCTCTTGTGTTTGGCTTGGAGCCAATGTCTTCTCTTGTGTTTCGCTTGGAGGTTGTGACGTGGGTCCCCCGGTCGCAGCGCCGACTGTGACATTCTATCCTGATCTACCACGGCACCAGTTGTGATGCCCTAAACATCACCAATTGTGGCGTCCTGCCACGGGCGCCAGCTGTTAAGCTCCTTGCTGCTCCGTTCGGTGTCGCTGCTCCAAACGTGACATCCGCCTGTCGTGTCAGTCGTGTTGTCTCGTCCTGTGACGACCAACTGGCTTGGTATCGGTCGCGGCACCCAAATGTGACGTTCTAACCTTTTGGTGATTTGGGTGGGAATCTGGTTAGATTTGATATCAGCCTCGTCGTTCCCAACTTACTTCCAACACCTGGTTACCAAGGTAACTGCATTGATCTCCAGTCCGCCTACCCATGTTGTGAACTGATCTTAGACAGACGAGATCAAACAGTGGTTGGGGCCGTAATGCAAACTGAGTTCAACGGGGGTGATACTACACAAATATGCATAAAAGAAAATAAAATGAAAACTCAAAAAGTTCAAAGAAAAAGGTAACAAACTTTATGTCTAGTTGTTCGATACATAGGACTGCATCTATCTCCCGACCTGTTCTGTGGATTGTGACACGTCGTTTTCCGTTAGGCAAGTTTTTAACGCTTCAAGTTGTTTGCTCTCTAAGAAATTGGCGTTTCGGTGTGTCTTTGGACGAAAGTCGAAAAAAAACTTATTTCGGTGGTCTGGTTCTAAGTCACTCTTCAAAATAATTGTTCTTGGGTTGAAGAGGAGTCCGGAATTTGCGTGAATCTTGGTCAGCTGAACTCACTGGAACTGCTGGAACTCAACTCTCTGCTGGAGCCCGAACTCTGATTTCTGCCTGCTGGGGCCTTGCTTTTATTGACGCCGCCCAAAACCGGGGTGGGTCTGTCGGCGTCAGGGGTTCCTCGATAATTCTAAATAGATATCCACCTCTTTTATTTCTGGTTAGGGATTTTCCACTCTTTTCCATTTTTGGGAACCTTTCCTTACTCCCACTTTCTCACCATACTTCAGAGGGCGTGAACTGCGCTCCCCACTTCTTCGTAGCAGCTTCTCATACTTATACTCTGGATGAGGCGTCGACAGCCTCCTTCGTGCATCACGTGATCTCCACTCGACCAATGAGGTCTTAGTCGGGTATCTTTCCTCCTCCTTCGTGCGTCACGTGATCATCACTTGACCAATGATGTCTTAGTCAGGCGTGAACAATCCGCGGCTTTGTTTCGGGGAAAAAAAATATCTTGCTTAACTAAATAAAAAATTCTCTCTTCTCTTTCCCTTTTCTTCCGCTTTAATCGCCGTTATCATTTTTCTAGCCGCAAACGGACAATATGACACGTTCTACACGTGGTTTTTGTCAGGTATTTTATCGCTAATTATCAAAATGGGTGGTCTTCTTAACACGGCCTCAAAAAAGAAATATCTCTAAAGTTTCAGTCAGTCTGTCGCCTCCAAGGAAGAAGAAAAAACACTTCTGGGTCCCTATTCATTTTCCTTCGGTACATATTTCTGATAACATAATTTTATTATCGCAGGGCAAAGTTGTTTCAATGGGAAAAAAAATCGGTCAGCGGACATGGTTTGTGTGGCTTTTAATTTTCATATCTACCCAAAGTCCTGTAGTTACACCTGTGTTTTTGTCAATTATCAAAATTAACGTTTTCAATTGAATTTTTCCCCTGGCCAGCCGTTTTGTTTACGTACTCCCTAGATAACACAGCCGTTATCAAAACACATCTGTTTCTTTCTTTCTTTCCCTTTCTTCTTACCCAGAATTTCCGTCATTGTAATGACACCCTTTCGCCATGGTTACTTATCAATATATTCATTGTCTCTTAGCCATGTGTGTGTTCTGCTGATCACCCACAATTCATCTCGCCTTTCTTTCTGCCTTCTTTTCTTTCTTTTCCTTTCTCTGCCTCGTAAATGGTGCCACAGGTAGTCGTATCTCTTTCTCTTTGAAAGTCAAAATTTCTGAGTTTTTCTAAGAAGTTTTCCAGAAAGTAGGCCCAAGAAAAATAGGATTTTAGTTTTCTAACATTTCACATGGTAATGTTAAATTATAACCAACAGAAACTTTGATTGAAATGGTGTGTGTTGTATTGTGGAATCTTTTTGGCATATTCATAATTGTTTGCTATAAGGTAGAAAATAAAGTTTCAGTATGTTTTAATGTGGTAAGTGGGTATGATATTGAGTTTGAAATAGGATTTATTTCTATTAATACCAGGCTTCTCAATGTCAGGCTTGAAGTTACTAAGAAGTCAGAGGTTCTCACGTTCAGTGATTTTTCAGTGTGCTTCTTTGTTTGGAAAGTAACTGGGTGTGAGCACTGAAAACTAGTTTCTATAAAGATGACTTTCTCATTGATTTTCTTTTGAAAATAAAAATGCATTAAATATATGTTGGAAGATAGATTTGTTTGGGATGGTCTGTTTGGCTTAGTTGTAAGCTTTTCAACTGAGCAACCAATAATGAGAATGGAAGTGTGATAAATACTCTTAGGATCAAGTGCCACTTACCAAGAAAGTTGAATTTTTGTGCCACAGGCTTCTAGGAAATGGAATGAGTAGTTCTGAGACCCGGGTAGCTAAATTGAGATGATTAGAAGGGGGGGGGGTAGAAGTGAGTCGATTCTCTTGCTGGCCAAAGAGAAGATATGGTTCATTAGTCTAATGCCAGGCAGTAAATTTATATCAAGTCAACTAATTAAACTCCAAGACCATGACAAGTGCATTACTTATCAATATATTCATAACCAGTGAAAACAGGAATCACACTTCCATTTTCTCACCAGTGTTATTTCACCCGTTGTTTTATTGGTTACATATACCAGGATATCCTTCAGTTTTATAGACAATATGCAAATGGGAATCAGAACTCAGTGTGGAGAAATTTGTCAAGCAAATGTGCCGGACAAACTACAAGAATGCAGATTCTCACAAGTATGTTTAATTTTTATACAAAAGACCCACACATTTCACAAAATATGGTTCCTTACCAGTCTGTTTTCAGTTCACTGGCCAGGGTAAGGTGCATCTTGAACTGTCAAACTAACCAAATGAAACTGAAAACCACTTCTGGCACACACGTTCTTTACACAATTCATTTTTCAGATGCTTTCTTGACTTTTGAAATAAAAATAAAAAAGCATGAGGTGTTGATAATGCTCATTTTATTTCTACATTTTAATGAGTACGCAATCACATGGGGCAGACTGAAGTTAGCTACCGATAAAAGTGCTTGACATTTAGTGTCGACAAATTACAAATTTTCCCAGCCCAAAAAGGAAAACAAAAAGTTATGTATCTGCCTATATTTAAAGTTCTGTCCACAGTGTTCTTGGATGACAACAGCAAAGTGAGAAAGAAGAGGGAGAGGGAGAGAAAAAGAAAGAGAAATAGAGAAAGCAAGCAAAAGAGTCTTTTTTTTTGCTTTGTAAAATACCACATAGCATGTTTCCTGACAAAAAAAAGGCAGAGTAATCCTATAAATTTTACTGTTTCTTTTTGTTTTAAAAATACAGTTATGAATTTTTCATATATCTTAGTTGAATATATAACTGATTTTCCAGTTGTCTTTATTACAAATACATACAATACATAAGACCAAGATTTTCATTTCTGCTACAGGAATGTAACTTTAAAATGTTTCTGATATGAAAAAATTATAGTTGCGTATATATATATATATATATATATATATATATATATATATATATATATATATATGGCAGATATGTCAGTGGCTGACTTTCTCCTTGATTTTTTTAAAAATACGAATGGATTAAGTATATGATGGAAGATAGATTTGTTTGGATATTGTTTTAGTTCTGTCATATATATAATCTAACCAGCATTCTTGGATGATGAAAGTAGAGAGAGAGAAAGAAAAAGAAAGAGAGAGTGTGTGAGAAAAACAGAGAGAGAGTGTGAGAAAAGAGAGTGAGTGAGTGTGAAGAGAGACAGAGTGAGTAAGGGGAGAGTGAGAGAGAGTGAGAAAAGGAGTGAGAGTGTGAGAGAGAGAGTGAGAAAAGGAGAGGGAGAGAAAAGGAGAAAAAAGAGAGAGAGAGAAAAGGAGAAGAGAGAGAGAGAGAAAAAGAGAGAGTGAGAGAGAGAGAAAAGAGAGAGAGAGAGAGAGAAAGAGAGAGAGAGAGAGAGAGAGAAAAGAGAGAGTGAGAGAGAAAAGAGAGAGAGAGTGAAAAGAGGGAGAGAGTGAAAAGAGGGAGAGAGAGTGCGTGAAAAAGAGAGAGAGAGAGTGCGTGAAAAAGAGAGAGAGTGAGTGAGAAAAAGAGAGAGAAAGACATTTTGGGGATATTTTTTGTTTAGTTCTGTCATATAGATTTTGCAACATGGGACCCTCGCCTAAAGTTTTCTATCAACCAGCTAATAATGAGTGATAGTGAGATAAATAAGATCAAGTGCCACTTGTACAGATAGTAGAAACTTTGTGTTACAGGCTTATGTGCGCTGGAATAAGTAATTCTGGGTCTCAGGTAGTTAAACTGAGACAGGTAAAAGGGGTGGCAGAAGAGAGCTGTTTCTGTCGCGAAAGGAAAATCTGGTCCATTAGTCTATTGCCTAGCAGCAAATTTATCTCAAGCGCCAAATAAGTTAAACTCGAAGACCATTTCAAATGCATCCATGAATGAAGAACCCATATAATGGAAATAGGAATCATGTTTTCGTTTTCTCATCTGGCTCCAATTCCAAGCCAATGTTCAGTTCCCTATGTACATCGGAACTTTCTCCAGTGTTTGTGCACACCTATGCAAACAAGAATCAGAGATCAATGTGGAGAAATTTGTCTAGCAAATGTGATGTCCATAAAAAGAAAGCACCCACCCCAAGAATACAGATTTAATTTTGATACAAAAGACCTACAAACTTCACCAAAAAAATGGTTTCTTCCCAGTGTGTCTGATTTTTGTGCAGAAAAAGACCCAACACATGTCTCAAGAATATTGTTTCCTGCAAGTATGTGTCCACTTACAGATGAGTAAGCTTGATTTCCGGGATAAAAAAAAGACACACTTCACTCAAACACAGTGGCTTAGCTAAGGGGGGGGGGGGCGAAAGGGCGGACCGCCCCGGGTGCCAGCACAGGAGGAGTGACATAATGTCACCCCCAACAAAATTTTTTGACCAGGCTAAGGTGCCAAAAATAGTGGTGGAGGCACAGGGTTTCGCAGGTAGGCATATGACTCCCCAGTTTTGTCCCCCCCATCAGAAATTTTCTAATAAATTGTCGGGAAATTTGTGAGTAGGAAAAATAGCAATGTTTTCAGCTTTCATGTGTTTCAGTTGCTACAATCTTGGTTACTAACAAGAGACATTGTTGTAACATTTTATCAGATGATATGGTGTTTTAACTCTGCATCATTAATAACAACAAAGCGAAATACGAAGCCAAAAGTGCAACAATTTCAGTCTTGCCTGTGTATCAATTCGCTGAGATACAATTTTTCATTGAGTGAGCGATATATTTTTGAATATATCTACTAGTGTTGGGACGATTAATCGGAATCGGAACTTTTTGGGGTATCAGAATCGGAAAAATTTGTGCCTATTTTCCGATTCCAAAAACGATTCTTTTAAATTTTTAACTTAATTTTCCATTATTGGTACTAATGATAAATATTTATTGTTTTTAAATTATTACTAAAACTAAAATCATAATAACATCAAAATACGATGTAAATTTATTTTACTTGTATAAAGAAAACCAAAAAAATAAACTTTGCATAAATTCTCTAGGTAACCTTTAAAAGAATGCAGTTGATTTACAATGTTCCAAAAAATGCTTAAAAATTAAATAGAATATTTTTGTCAAGAAAAATACTTTCAAACATCATTGATAATTAAATGGTACCCAGAAAATGATGCAACGCAAACTTGGAGACTGGAAAATTAGCAACAGAAAATTATCAACCATGAGCCAGTCGAGACTGTCAGACCTGGCTGTGCGGTCCATTGAAAACGAGCTTACAAGACAAACAGATTTTGACAATGTCATTGACCAGTTTGCCACAATGAAAACAAGAAAACATTCATTCTAAGACCATAGTATCGAATGTCATTCTTTTGTGTATTGCCGTGTTTTGTATTTAGTTGTTCTGAAAGTGAACAGTTGCATTTTAAAAATCTTTTGATTTGAACTGATTATTTTGTGGTATTGGATTTTGTCTTGGATCATACATGTAAACAGTAACGTACCGGTCAGTAGAGTAAAGTAGAGGTAGAGCATGTATGAAAATTTAGCTACAGCTAACCATTCAGCATAGGGTGAATCGGGGTCATTGGGGTGACATTTGAGCTGACCGCCCCGGGTGACGTTTACTCTAGCTACACCGTTGCTCAAACATAGTTTCTTGTGTGTATCTGCTTATTCACAAGTAAACATGATTTCATCAAAAGGGAAGAAACATGCACTTCACAGGAATATAGTTTCCATCAATGCATTTGCTTATACAAGATTAAGCTTGATTTCTCTGCAAAAAAAGACCCACAAACTTCACCAAAAAATGGTTCATGCATATGCATGTTTGTATAAACGCATGCAAAGATGGTGATTGTGAAAAAGAAAGTCCACACACTTCTCAAGAAAATGTTTTTTAGCCAATGTGTGTGTATACTTATCGATGAGTAAGCTTGATTTCTCAGCAAAAAAAGACCAACAAACTTCGCAAAAATATGGTTTCTTGACAGTGTGTGTTTGCTTAAGCAGACGTAAGGATTTATGTCCAAAGGAAGCACTAAAATCTTCACAAGAAAATTGCTTCGATCAGTGTGTCCTTGCTCATGCATGGGTAAGCTTGATTTTCCAGCAAAAGAACAATACTTCACAAGCAAATAACTTCTAGCTATTGTGTCTGCTTGTAGATGAGTAAGTTTCATTTCTGGGCAAAGGAAGACCTGCAGAATTCACAAGGAAATTGCTTCTCACTGGTGTATTCGCATATGCCTGAGTAAGCTTGATTGCCGTGCAAAGGAAGACCCACATAAATCACAAGAAAATGGCTTCTCGCCAGTGTGTATTCGCACATGCATGAGTAAGTTTGGTTTCTCTGCAAAAGAAGATCCACAAACTTCACAAGCAAAAGGCTTCTCACCAGTGTGTGTCCGCTTATGAATGACCAAGTTTGATTTCTGTGCAAAGGAAGACCCACACACTTCACAAGAAAATGGCTTCTCACCAGTGTGTGTTCGCATATGTCGTAATAAGGTTATTTTCTGTGCAAAAGAAGACCCACACACTTCACAAGAATATGGTTTCTCACCAGTATGTGTTCGCTTATGTAGGCGTAAGGTTGATTTATGTCCAAAGGAAGCCCTACAAACTTCACAAGAGAAGGGCTTCTCACCAGTATGTGTTCGCTGATGCAAGCATAAGGTTGATTTATGTGCAAAGGAAGATCCACAAACTTCACAAGAAAATGGTTTCTCACGGGTGTGTCTTTGCTCATACATAAATAAGCTTGATTTCTCAGCAAGAGATGATTCACAACCTTCACTAGCAAATAACTTTTCACCAGTGTGTGTCTGCTTATGAATGTGTAAGTTTGATTTCTGTGCAAAGGAAGAGCCACACACTTCACAAGAAAATGGCTTCTCACCAGTGTGTGTCCGCATATGCCTGAATAAGTTTGATTTCTGTGCAAAGGAAGACCCACATACTTCACAAGAAAATGGCTTCTCACCTCTGTGTGTTTTCATATGCAGGTGTAAGCTTGATTTCCGTACAAAGGAAGCTGTACAATCTTCACAGGAAAATGGTTTCTCACCTGTGTGTATTCGCATATGCCTGAGTAAGTTTGATTTTAGTGTGAAGGATGACACACATACTTCACAAGAAAATAGCTTCTCACTAGTGTGTTTTCGCTCATGCATTGGTAAGCTTAGTTACTCTGCAAAAGCAGATCCACAAAATTCACAAGAAAATGGTTTCTCACCTCGTCCACTTATGGATGAGTAAACTTGATTTCTGTTCCAAAGAAGATGCACACACTTCAAGATTTTTGTTTATCAAAAGTTTGTTTTGTGTATCTGTTTATGGATGAATAAGTTTAATTTCTATGCAAAGGAAAACCCACCTACTTCAAAAGAAAATAGCTTCTCGGCAGGTTAAGGTTTACTTTTCTGCCAAGAAAGACCCACAAACTTCATAAAAATATGGTTTCTTGTAGTGTGTGTTTGATTATATCTGAGTAAGGTTGATTTGTGTACAAAGGAAGAGCCAGACGTTTCCTAAGAAATTATCACCAGTGTGTGTTTGCTCATGTAAACTTGATAACTCTGTAAAAGAATAGCCACAAATTTGACAATGAAATGGCTTACGTCAGTGAGTGTTCACTTATGTACAACCAAATGATTTTTTTAAAAGGAAGTGCCACACACTTCACATGAATATGCTTTCTCTCCAGTGTGACATCATCGAAGAGAAACACAATTCACAACATGCTTTTTCTCAGTGTTTGTAAAAGTTGGATCAAATATGGCTTTCATAAAAAGGTAGTACCACAAACTTTACATGGATTCTCTGCAGTATGAAGATTGTTTTTTGGAGTAGTTTTCCATACTTTCTCTGATTTACATTACCAAAACATCAGCCATTGAAACTGATTTGTTGACTGACATGTCTGTAAAAAAAAAAAAAAAATCTATTCAAGAGATTGAATAAATTAAAGAAACCTCATGACATATTTCAAGAGGTTTGAATGCATGCAATATTTGATAAAAAAAAAACCTTATATAAAATTACTGACATTATACAGACATGGATTTAATAAAAAGTTTGGTAAAGTTGGAACTTCATGCCTGTAAAAAGAAATGGAGGTCAAAGGAACAGGTTTTTCCTTTGACACTGATATTATTTTAACTACCTTCACTCCTCAGTGATGTTTGTTGTTTTTTAAAAAGCAATGATTAGAATTGTAATAAACCCTAAACATATGATGAAAGTGAATTCATACATTTTTTACTTCTTGAGAATTGACAACAAAGATATTAAACACTATTTATTTAGTAGATTATTTACAACAATAATTTTATATTTACATTTTAAAATACTAATACAATCATATTAAAACTAATGCAATTAAATATTTATCATTTACCAATTTATAAAGAAATAGATGTGCAAACAATTTTTTATTTATCAAAATATGTGAACCAACTACAAAGAAATCCTTATTTACCATTTTATAAAGTTTGAATCAATTGTCAATTAGCCAATGATTTGCAAACCATTCCAATAAATAATATAATAAATAAATAGTGTAAGTAAATTAATATTAAATTACATTGAAAGAAGTCTAAGAAATATAAGAATTTATATT